GGCAGCTCCCGTTCTCCTGCCGCCCAGGTGCATCGAGGAGCGGTACAAGGCGGTGTGCAGCGCGGCCAGGACGCGCTCCGTCCTGTCCCTCGGCGTCGCGTGTTTCAAGCAGCTCCCGGAGAAGGTACGTGCTCGGTTTGCGCCCCCCGGGGGAGCAGCGGGGCTCTGCCCAGCCGTGCTCCATGGCATTGCCCCTTCGGCAGCCCGCTGTGGCGAGTAGCCCTGCATGGCCTCGCACGCTCTGCTCCTGCAGTCCGAGAACACGTACCTGTGCCAGATCTACAACCTGACGCTGCTCTGCACGGAGGATTACATCGTGGAACCGCAGTCGGTGCAGTTCCTGGTGCAGCACGGCTTCGACTTCAACAAGCAGTATTCCCAGGGGATCCCTTACCACAAGGGAAATGACAAGGTACAAAGTGACTCCCCTTCCACTGCCTTGGCTTGCTCCAGTTTTCTTGGGGGGTTGCTGGTGTTCCCGGTGCTGGCTTCTCCTTTACAGGGAAGATGGGCTCATGCTGGGGTCTCGAGTGCACTGTTGTTCCCTTCACCTCCCTGCTGGTTTGAATCCAGGCTGCCACTTGTTGCAGTCACTTTTCCAGATACTTGTGCCTCTGTTTGGTCAGAGCAAGTAAAGGCTGTAGGCTCTGTTGCAGCAGGCTGAGGACTTCCCAGGGCAATAGCAAGTTAAAGCTCCAGAGCTCATTGACTAATCCTTGCTCTCGCAGGGCAATGAGAACCAGAGCCAGAGCGTTCGGACTTTTTTCCTGGAGCTCATACGAGCAAAGAAGCCTCTCATTCTCCATAATGGCCTGATCGATCTGGTGTTCCTGTACCAGTGCTTCTATGCTCACCTCCCGGACAGCCTCGGCACCTTCACCACTGACCTCTCAGAAATGTTTCCAGCAGGACTATATGACACTAAATACGCTTCGGAGTTTGAGACTCGCTTTGTAGCATCCTACTTGGAGTATGCTTACAAGAAGTGGTAAGTGGCAGTCTGGTATTTAAAGCTTATGGGAGGAAAGGCAAACAGAGCATCAGTAGTTGGTCTGATTTTTGTTTTTCCAGGCAAGGGGGGGTAGGTCATTGTATTGTCCCAAAGTGTGAAGAAAGGAGCTTCTCCCATTTCTGGGACAGATGCTGAGTGCATGAGAATGCCTTTTATAATGCCACCTTGTCTTTTCGGGGGGCAGCTGCTGAAAGAGGATTTCAAAACTTAAGACTGACCCCACAGTGACCTGATCTAACTGTTAACAGAGTCGCTGCATGGCTCTGGCTCACTGGTGTCAGAGGGCCACAGCAGGAACACACACAGGAGAGAAACCTTTAAAACACAGCTAAAGAGCAAACAAAACCAGGGCTGTGCCTGCCGCGTCTGTTAGTTACAAGTCAGTTTTGCAACGGTGGGTGCTCCCTGCACCTCCTGATGGTGACTAGCTCTGTCACACATCCTGTCACACATGCAGCCAGCGACAACTCCCGCCATCTCCATCCCAAGCGAGGGTTACTCTCTTGCTCCAGGACACATGTCTGTCTACTTCAAGTGACAGTCTGGCCCCTCATTTTGTGTTCCCCACGCAGTGTAAACAAGCCCCTGGCACCAATCCAACCCCTCGAATCTCCATTAGACTGAAGTCACGCTCTGTGTAGAAAAATGGTATTTTTAGTGACTGTTTTATGTCAGGAAATGCCACTTTGACAGCTCTGAAAACATTTAAGATGGCTGTTCTCAAACATGAGAGTGCTTTGTTTTGACAAGATAAAAATGCTTTTTAAACTGACTTCTTACATAGTTTGACCCACAGATCTAGTTACATGAAGCCTTCCAAAGGTTTTGGGCCTTTTAGCCAGCTCTTGGGACAAACCAGTTCTTTTTCTCATGAGCTGGAAAAGGTTTCCTTCTTGTCTGTATTGCCCGGGTTTGACCTGTCTGGGTGGTGGCTCCTGGATGCTCTGCATGGTACCTCAATTTGGGGCATTTTTTCTTTATCCATCATGAAGACTAGCACATACCTTAGTGCCCTTACTACTTAAAAATCAAACTGTTTGTCCTCCTCCTGTAGCTTCACCAGAAATGCTGTTGTCTCTGCCTGCATGTCGGCCTAAGAGAAACCAAGTCTGGAATCAGTACGGAAGCAACTACTTACTAAAGCTGTTCTCCCAGAACTGTGTTTCTTCCCAGCAAGCTGTCAAGCTGGGGCTAGACCTCATGAACAGGAAACTCGTGGAGCTGAGATTTGGTGGAGAACAGGGTGTTTGCACCAGCTCCACACTGAGGTTCGTGCAGTGAGTTACCTGCAGTAACCATGTACTCTTGTTACAGCAAGCGAGAGAACTGTAAACTGAAGGACTCCAGCGGTCAGCACCTCACCATTGAGTTCTGCAACTACCCTGCCAACATGTCCATTTACATTGACTATCGCTACTGCTCTCTGGAAGAAGAAAACCACAATGTGGGAGGGGGAGATAAGGTGCCTGTCTGTGAGAAATTTTCAGTAAGTAACTTGAATCCTTGCTTCTTTTGTGGGTCCATGGAAAGAGCAGGAAGTGGTAGGAAGACACCTGCAAACTTCCCCTTCTTGCTTTACAGTACAAGATAGATTTGCAAGCTTCAGGTGGCTTCATGATGGGAAGGGCAATAGCATGCTCTGTTCAGAGGCAGTGAATTCCACAAGGCTACATTAGACGCAAAGATTAAGAAAGAGATTATATAGCCCTAAGCAGTGGGATGGTATGAGTTATGGTACCTATTGTTGTCTTGGGAGGGCAGCAACTTCTAAATTAGTTTGGTTTGTCCTCTGAGCAAGAAATGCCACCTCTTCCCTCCCTGATTAGGTATATAAAAAGATTACCTGTGTGCAGCTTCTGACACAGTGTGATCCACAGCACCTCGAGTACTGGTGCTGCTACAGCAGTAAACAGAGAGCCCATCTGATCAGATCACAACTGGTTTCATCTGCTTCTGGGAGAAAAGGAGCTCTTCCAGATGTTACATGTTTCTGTCACAGAACACCATAGGCTGGGGAGATCTCTGGAAGTTTCTTACCTGACCACCAACTCAATATTGCTTAGAGCCTTGTCTGGTGGATTTTGAAAATTTCCAAGGACAGAGGCTGCAAAACCCCTCCAGGACCCTGTTCCAGTGCTTGACCACTTACTGAAGTATGTAGGCAGAATTTCTCCTGACTCTTAGCATGTCACATCTCCCTGTGCTCCCCTCAGAAGAGTTTAGCTCCATCTTCTCTATAACCTCTATCTATAACTAGATATCCCTATCCCCTTAGCCTTGTCTTCTCCAGGTAGAACAAACCTATCTTCCTTGGCCTGCCTTGTGTGCTGCATGTTGACAGCTGCCTGCTGCACTCACTGCAGTTTGTCAATGCCTTTCATTTGTGTTGTGGAGCTGTAACAACACAGCACTCCCCATACAGCCTCACAAGCCCTCGGCAGAGGGGAATGATTAGCTCTGTTATGGTGACAGGCTGCTCTAACAAGCAGGCTGGTAGCTACAGACTTCTTTCTTTCTCTTCCTAGGCCTATGGCTGGTGCCCAAAAGGGGTGAAGTGTCCACATTCTCATAACATAGACCTCATAATCGATGAGGACGACAAGCTTTGCGAGAAGAAGCAGAAGAAACGGAAGCAGAAATGGAGGCGTCGGAAGAACATAGAAGAGCCTGCAAAGGAACAGGAAAGCTCAGGGAAAGAAGTGGAGCTAGTTCAGAATGGGGAGGAGGGACCACCACAAAAACGGGGCTGCTATGAGCCTGCAGCTGCCACAGTGCTGGCAGAGATCACACCCAACTGTGAGGGCAGGCCACTGGAGGAGAACATGGACATGGAAGCAGAGGTCAGCTCAGATACCAGTGCACAATGGAAAGAGGATCTGGGGAGCACAGAAGGAACTACTGCCCAGGCAGCAGCTGTTGTGAGCCCTTCTGCCAGGGGAAATGCCTCTGACAGTGACCAAGCAGAGGGGAAGTCAGATGTTCCCACTGGGATTGGCTCAGTCAATCACTCTGACCTCCCACAGACTGAAGCAGTGTGTGCTGCAGAAAAGGAAAAGGAAACCCATGGTCTGCCTTCACAGGGGGGCACACACCGAGCTGGCTTCGATGCGTTCATGACTGGCTATATCATGGCTTATGTCTGGATGCTCAAGAAAGGAAAAAACACAGATGCTGATGCAGAGTCCTGGTTGCCAGACTGCCATAATAAACTGTACCTCAGTGGGAAATCGGTGCCTCTTCAAATAGTGAAGAGCTCGTTTTCCAAATCTTCCAAAGCTCACAGCCAGAAGATGAAGTTGGCCTGGAGCAGTGGATAGAGCTAGAGGACTCCTCATTGAACTGGGGGCTTTTCTCCCTGAGTTTTGAAGTTCTTTGTTGCATCAAGAACTGACAAGAAGTGGAGCAAGTTTCTTACTCTTGTTTTTGTTTTAACTTCTGACCAATTAAAATGCTCTCACTTGGAGCTCCCCTTGTTGTTCCTTAGTGGCCTGCTGTGCTGTGAAGGCAGGCTGAGGCTGGAGAAGGAGGAGGAAAAGCACACCCCTCAACTGTGCCCAGGGCTGGGAGTTTCAGTTTAGTGTCCTGCACTCAAAGTGGGTTTTGTAAAAAGCTAGTGTTGCCCTTCTGGAAAGACCATATGTTACTGACCTTAGCATGGGTTTCACTTCTTGCAGAAGATGAAGGGGGTAATCACTTGATAAAAAGAGGAGACAGAGGCCAGAGCTCCTTGGTTAAACTTCTTGCCCTGTGAGAACTCCAGCTTCCTCCCAGGTCTTTGCTTTATACTTACCACATGCTGCCACTTAACCCAGTGGCTTTGGGTGGGACAGACCTTTTCAAAATGAACGTGTGCTAAAGGTCTTACCTCTGAAAACAGTTGAAAGCTCCAAGCTGTTGACTCATACAACCAGCATGATAGAAATGCTATAAACAGTCACTGGAGGAAGATGTGATGCTTCTGCCAGATGAAAGCAGGCTAATTCTTCAGGCAGAGCATTCATAAAAATGTATGCTTAGTCAGGTGTTACTGCTTTCAGTCCCTGCTGGTAGGGAACTCCCTGTAACCTTTATAATTATTTCCTATCTTTCTACAGAAGTCAGGAAGGAAAAGTGTTGTCTTTTTTAAAAAAAAAGAGATGGTTGGTTTGGAACACGCACATGGGAGAGACATTCTGCTTCATATCTATCCACCTTAGTCTTGGTTACAGCATATGTAGATGAGACCTTTGCTTCTATGGGCCAGCTGGTTCTAGTGCAGGGTAACTGCATGCAGAACCAAGCCACAGCCAGTCTTCAAAATGTCTAAGTAAGGGGAGATGCAGTGGGACTTAAAAGCCAGATGTGGGCTTAAACAGCACAGCTCCCTGTGCTGCTGAAGTTATTTAGGGCTAGAACAGAGCAGCTGCAGTGGCAAGCTCCCTGTAAGTTGAGTGCTTTCAAAATCCTGTCTTGTAGGTCACAAGCTATGGCCAACTCTGAAGAGTGCTGTAACACAGAGCGGGGGGGGGGGAAAAAAAATCCTTGAGTCTCATGGATTTAATAGTGTAACACTACAGTAAGATGCAGGAGAGAAACAACACTAAGGATGAGAGTTTTCCTTGTTTATAATTCAGCACTGAGCAATAGGAATACAATCTCCAGCCAGGTATTCATGTCATTCATAGCTTAAGTAAGTATTTAAACCAGCTTTTTTAACCTAGGGTTGTCATCATCTCAAATCACAGGACTCAGGCCTTGATTTCATTTTTATTTTGAAAGCAAGTTGGGAAAGTTTACAAAACCTGACCAAGAAAAAAATTATGAAAATATTTAACTGGATTCATCTTTGGTTACTTCTT